AAAGTGGTTCGGTTCGAGTCAACCGGAAGCTGACAAATGTTGAACTAAAGTGCAAACGCCAAATCCTAAGTGGTTGAGAAAGTTTCGGAAAATTGATGGAGCGCAAAGCATATAGGCAATATGAAACTCCATGGCACCATGGCTTTTCCTCTTCAAGTTACTGTGGATGTAGGCAAATCGTTTTCCTGTCGTTCACTTTGGACGCGACTTAATTCTTGCCACGTTTAACTCCTATTTTTTTTGTTTTACCTGATAGGAGTGCTGAATTTCTTGATTGGCTTCACGTGTTTTGCAGAATAATACATTAGACAATGGTTTCGGCTAAGAACTTTGGTATCTTTTGCCTGAAGAAAAATGGAATACTGGCACAAAGCAGTTGATGAATTGAACAAACTTTTCACTGAGTTCATAAAAATGATGTCATGCGCTTTGCAAGGCCTTATGAACAACCCACCTCATTTCTGACACCACATCAACCCCTTTTAGTCACCTGAAACGTGTCACCGCCTACGCGCTTTGAATCCCCATTGCAGTCAGAAATGAGTGACAGTTGCAAGCAATGCGTGGGACTGGCCGCGAAGGTGTGTTTGGGTGAACAAGGGTGTGGTTGTCTGCTATGCCAAATGAAATGTATTACATTGTCAGAGGGTCTGAATGGGCCCATCAGCTGTGTCAGGAACAGTTGATTTATTTGGCTGACTCTTGACGTGTGCTGGTGGAGCTTTGGCATCTCCAAGGTCACAGCACCACCTTCCAAAGTACAGTGTCTCATGTGTAAAGTGTCAGTTTCAAACTGACCGCCTGTTTGGTTGTACTTTCCAACTTAGTCGGAAGTTGTTGTGCAATGTGGTTAGTACTGGGCGTTCAGGCACTTATTCTGTTGAGTGTTGCTATCACACATTGCACAGGAGAGGACAGGTGTCCTTTACCGCTTTGCGGTGACCGATGGCACGAAATCGTGTTGTAGCAGGTTGTGGTTATGAGGCAAAATCCATTATCATATCATAACTTATGGTGGGTAAATCTTTGCATGTTTTTCGTGGCCGTTTCGCCTCAAAGATTGGCTGTGGCAGTTAGCGTGTTGAACAGGTCTTCCACGCTCCATTTGTTATGGAATTGTTTGTCTCTACAGATCCGTTCGATGCTGATAGTAGATTCCGCGGCACGAATTAAACCGATTGATGCTCTCGCCCACGAGTTCTTTCAGGTAACCTCCCTTTCCTTACGTCTATCACGTCTGTCTTTGGATCAAAGAGAGATCACAAGGCTTTGTTTTCATCATCTACAGACAATTGCTGCTCCTGTCACCACCAAATTCCACGGCAGGCGGAAATTCAAGGTGAGTTTTACCGTCTCCAAAGGAAGCCCAACCCTACCACTTACCTTTGTCCTCATTCTCTTTGTCTCCTTTCTCTCACCCCAGTCTGCGTATCGTGCGATCCTCTTCATTCGCATATTGAAGGACCTGAAGGCCTGTGGAACCACCCTCTCACTCTACAAACTCACCACTGACCCCTATTCAAACAAACGGCTCCGAAAACTCATTGATGCCCTAGCTTTTGATGTCTACAGCCACTGGATCAAACGAGGCGATGAGCAGAATCGGGCAGCGTTGTATGAGAATAAACCGCGCTGTGAACAGGTCCAGATGACCCTAACACCACCTCTTCAACTTCATCCAGATATGTTAAATGCGGTGGAATTCAATGATGACGCTTTTTACGAGCCTTCCGGTGTGCGAGGTTAGCTGTAAGAGGAGCCGTTTCTCTTTCTCCCTCTCTCTCTCTCTCCCCTCCCTTTACTTTTCTTCACCAGTCTTTTTTGTTTTGGTTTTCACCGCCTCGTTGCATCTCTTTCATCCTCGCGATATTTATTTGTTGGTGGTTTGTTTGGTTGTTTATTTATTTGGTATGCCAGTGGAGCCAACATATGACGCAGATCCGCCTTCGATTCGATGACAATCTAGGAGACAGACAACTGGATAAAAAGATTATATCACAGTCATGAAGCACACTCTTCTTCTCTTATTGCTTGACGAGTGGGGAGAATTTTCAATCGACTTCCCAGCGGAGGGTGGTTTGCTTGTGCTCAAGCGCTGCAACCCCCTGCTGCGGGTGAAATGACTATTTTTGTGAGATCGTCTGGCAAGCAACAGCAGAAGGTGTGGTGAATGTGGTGGACTGGTGCAATGGACTGTTCATCGAGCATCCTGCACTAGCGCCTCCTTCAGTTTTGATTGGTACGAAGTCGTAGGCGGTGTCTGACGTATTTCATCTGTACTGCAAAGAAGTTTTCGGCGACTGGGATGAAACTTTATGCATTGGTGGCCTTAGACTCGTCCATTCAATCCATCGTCTTAGTTTTGGTTCAGGACTTCTGCATTGTTGGTCTAAACTCAATCATGAAGTAATAATCATGGCTAACTTGGTAGTGTGTCTGAACACTGGTTCTAGTGAAGAGGGAGTTCATGGATTGGATCGTAGAATTTGCTTGGCTGTTCTTTGGAGGTCTGGTTCCCAGCGTCCCAATGTCAAATGAAAAATCAAATAGGTCATTGTCAAGTTGATGCAATTCCCTGCTGGATGCAGTTGACTCGAATCTCAGGTGTGGTGTCTGACGTTCCACTCTTTCGTCAAATTGTAAGCTGTAAAAGTCATTTGTGAGGTCGAGAAGGATTGAGATGCTGGTAGCTTCACCTTCAACACAGAGTGAAATTAAGAAACATAGTATCTAGGTGACTGTTAAAATGTCAGCCCTTTCAGACTCAATCAATCAGCATCCAATTTCGCAACTGTCTGGGTCGTCTATCTGTCTTGCGAGAGCGCCTCTGAAAAAGGCGTCGTAGGCATCTGAATGAATAAATTAGTGGAATTAGTCAGTTGTGTAACCAGTGTACTTTTGCATAATCCACTTCCGTCTTGACTGTAACTGTGACTGGCGATGGGACCATGGTCATTCGATGGATTTGACGGTGTGGTGTGACAGTGCGGGTCTAAGACTAACTCTAGGGTTCACTTCAAGAGTTGACACCACCTCACCACACTAGTCACTTGACACAGATGACGACAATTGCCTCTACCTCAGCAATAGTCAGCCCGTGCATATGGACATGAGCCGACTTATATAGGCGTTTACGCCTGTCATACACGTCGTAAGGGCATGGGTTTGGATTAATACATAAGACTTTATGAAACACCTCGGTGAATCGGCAAAATAAGGGCAAATGACGCGGCAGTCACACCCATGTAGCAACAGAGGGTCAAACGTGGGCGCCGAGTTGAGACGATGTTACAGTTAGGTAGTTCACTCGATTA